CCCTGGTCTCCCATGTCCTAGCTCAATACTCTAACCATAACACCACACAAGCTCCTTTTGCCCCACTGGTACACGCATTTTTTCCCCCTAAGGGAGAAAATAACAGTGGGGAGAGGAGCAGTTTATAGTGGTGAAATGGCATGATGCAAAAGATTAACACCTTCCTCCCAACATTATGGTTCTGTCAACTTGAAAAGCCTCCACAGATGCTGTTAAAACAAATGTTAAGAATCAGGATACCCAGACATGGATTCCAACATCTAATTTGGCACCCAGAAATGTTAGGAACAATGGTTGTATTCAAAAAAGTTATACTGAAACTGATAGTTTAACTGAGTTATACCAAAACTGATTAACCCAAGTTAATAAGGTCCATTAACTTCAATGTATCTGCTCTGAGTAGTGCTCACTTTGGACACAACCCAATATATATTGTTTAGTATTATTATTTTTTCTTATCTTCAGTTTACTTGAAAGATTGCTGCATCTTATATGTGCCTGCTCAACTGCTTCAATCTGCAGAACTGGCTCTTTTACAAGTCTCTCTAAATGCACATTTTGAAACGCATGTTGATTGGCTTTTTCAGAACTGTGTTGGAACATTTGGGGAAATTGTTGAATGACTGAACTGTGATCTGCTCATTCGTCAGGGACATGAAATCAGGTCAGATCATACTAGGATTTGCAAAGATTAAATCCACAGAGGATATTTAGACCGATCTTCTTGCTGCCTCCCTTTTGGTCAAAGGCAGGTGATGGTTCTTCAGGTTAAATGTAAATCTTCTCTCATCTTGCAAGCCTGTTGTGAGCTTCATTCCTGACACCAAACAGAGATATGCGGGGAGACAAAACCCAGCCAGGTTGCCTTGGAACACAGCTGTGATTTTGCTTTGCTTTAGAAACTTCTGACAAATTAACCATACATCCAGTAGACACAAGCACCTATTAGGCTGACTCTTCAAAGGAACTCAGGAAGCTGCCTTGAATTGACTCAGACTATTGGCCCACCAAGCTCACTATTGTCCACACTGACTGGTAGCAGCCCTCCACAGTTTCAGACAGGGGTCTACCCTAGCCACACCTGGAGAAGCTGCAGATTTAACCTAGAATGTTCTGCATGGAAAGCAAATACTCCATCACCAAGCTAAGGCCTCTCCTCCAAAGATTGTCACCACAGGGAAAATAAAATGTCTCCCATCTAAACCAAAACAGAGAGAACGGGGTTGGCCAGGAAGGAGACAATTGACTTGAGGTAGTACAATTGTTTTCTTTAGTTGGAGAAGGAGCAACTGTTTCTTCCAGAAGTAGGAGAAGCATACGGATCAGGGCAAATAGGTCATACCCTGAAGAAACATCTAAATCTCCTCAGAATAGTGGGCGATGCAATATGCCACCTTGTACGATAAAAGAAAATAGATTTGTGCAGGCAACTACATCCTTAGTTGTTTGACAACTTACCCTCAGTGTCACTGCATTAATGTCCCTCTTCCCCTGAGGCAACAGTACCAAAGAGGATCCCACCTTCCTGATGAAGGTGCAGGCTAACTAACAGAGCAAGCGGCTGGGGTCTGAAGGCCTTGCTGGTGCCAACTGGCAGACACACCCTGGAAGCAGCTGAATACACTAATCCTTTCTCAAAAGATGCAAATTGCTAAGTTGATTCCTAATGCCAAGTTGACTGATTCCTCCAAACCAAAGAATTTAATATAGCACCAGTCCCCTGAGAAGGAAAAAATAGATTAAACCCCCCTCTTGAAAACTTTGGTAGTTGGGTTTTACATACTGTGTGCCTCGGGCTTGCTACTTGAATTTCACTTCAAAGATTCACTGCAAAGTATCTGCTAATTTCCTCCACCACCCCCTTTCCTATCTGCCTGGTTAGCCTTTAAAGGAGAAAATTTCATTAACAAAAACCATGGATATAAAATATGAAATCAGAGATCAGCTCCTGCAGTGCCAGAGCCAAACATTACTAAAAAGGATTAGTTTCTTTCACTGTCGAGAAATTTCTCATGGAAGACCTTGGCTGCCCTTTCGATATTAAAACTTCCCAACAAGTATTACACAGGAGTTTTAAATTAGAACACACTGTCATTGGGACAGTTATAAACTGTTAAATATGTCCTTTTTGCAGGCTGGTCTCCAGCAAAATGCAAGCCCACCATGTTGCGTGATCTGAAGTAGTAGGGATATCGGTGGACATTTGTGGACAGAACCATTCACTGACCTTGCTGAGGGTGATGGGCTCTTAGATTTAGGTAGTGTTGTGCTGAAATCCGTCCTCCAAATTCTCTCCAGTTTTCTTCCTCTTCAGAAAATGTTTTCATTTTTCTTCCTCATATTCAGGGCATGTCAGATTTTCTTTAGAATTCTTTAGACTGTCTTTAGAATTCCAGTCAGTATGGGGTTTTGAGCTTACCTTGCTGTTACACAGTTGCCAAGGCTGTTTTGTGTATTCCCTGATGTCCCAGCAAGCATTTCTCCTGCACACTTAAGTTTCCCTGGCTGCCCATACTTCTGGAACTGAGAAAGCTCCTCAGAAAGCTAAGCAATATCACCTCAACATATATTGAGGAAAATAAAGTATAAAGTAATAAAGTGTGTATGAGTGCCTGTAGGATGTTACAATGGCTGTAAAACAATGTTCATCAACCTTGTGACCCCTGATGTAGCTGGACCAAAAGTCCCACCATCCTCAGCCAGCTTAGCCAATGGTCAAGGATCATGGGAGTTGTAGTTCACCATCTGGGGACCCTTGGTTGAAGAGTACTGCTATAAAACATGGATTAGATAAATTCATGGAGCATGGGTCCTGCAATGTGTATATGCCACGATTATTACTAACATAACTTCCATGCTCAGAAACTGGATATCTTCAACCTATGAGTCTGGTTTGTGGCAGTCCTTTATCAGGCATGTTGGCGCATTTAGCTGAAAATGGAAATAGGAGCAGAACTTGCCAACGCTCCCTTATTCGTACCACGTCTGGAATGGAACTCAACCCAGCGAATAAGATCAGCATTTTCCATCGTTGTTGCTTTCAGCCCACAAACAGTGCATAACTGATTACATTCCCCTCCCTGATTTGAGTTGTGTTTCCTTTGCACCGAAACGAATGGGGTGGAATGATGTAATGACAATGTCGGTGATGTAATTAACTACATAAATTATGCAGCGAATGAACTGCAGTGGAATGGAAACAGTACTGCCAACAAAGTTTGCAGGGTGGAACAGAAAACAATGCCTTCTTACAACCCTTAGGCCCTTATTTGCTCTTGTGACAGCTGCCTCTCTCCAACTTTACGCCTCCTCTAGATGCTGACAACCAATAGACCAACTTAATGCCAAGGTGTCTCACCCACCATCTCTCCTTCCCATCGTCTCTGTTCTTTCCCTTTGTAATTGTCTACAAAGGCAGAAACTCCAGACTCACAAACAGAGCAAAACATACCCTACTCCGTTGCAAACCCCTCTATTTAATTTCCCCTCCTTCTTTGTTTGTTTTTGAGCGATTTTTCTGACAACAATAATCCCCTTTTAAATGCTGGTTCCGCCAGTCACATAATGGACCTTCCCTTCTGTTATTTGACCGGCAGAGCTGGTAATGAGTGTTTAATTATAGTTTATACAGCCCACTTTGGTCTGAGTGAGAAAAGCTGCTTTGTTACAGTCAATGAAGTATTTAAAGCTATGTCCAAGGTAGGGACGGGTTTATTAAACACTTGGGTAAGCAATAATAAACTAACATTGATCGAGCAACTTGATAGCTTTCTTTTATGTGCTCGAGGAAGCAGGGGGTGGGTCAGATCCAGGTAGAAGAATTTAAAGTAACTTGGCACAGGGAAAAGAATGTGTTCACATGGCTGCTTCAGGAGGCAACATTGTTTGATGTAACTCAATCTTCCACTTGTATAAAAAGAAAGTTGCTTTGCCACCATTACCACCAATGGGCAGGCTGGTGGGATCCTTTGTAAAAGGGGAGAGGACAGATTCATGGAGAATAAGGCTATTAACAGCCACTATGCTTCTGAGCACCAGCTGCTTCTGTGCTCAGGTCCAGGTCCATCTGGGTGGCCACTGTGAGAACATGATGCTGGACTAGATGGGCCATTGGCCTGGCACAGCAGAACTCTTCTTCTGTTCTTATGAGGAGGAAGACAGTTCCTTCACCAAGTCACTACACCAGCCGTCGGTACCCTGCTGTCCTCCAGCAGTTTTGGACTGGGGGCAGTGGGAGTTGTGTTCCAAAACAGCTGGAGGGCTCCAGGATGTTGGTAGTCTACTGTAGTCCTTGAATATGAATTATGTCTCAAATGTTTGATATACGTTTACATTGTTAATTTAAACTGAACTGATGATGTTAAGAAATGGCAGGCTTGAAAAAACAAAAACTTGCTGTGTTTCAGTTGAGTTCTCGCAAACTGATGCAGACGTATTGCTGTCAGCGGTTACATGTTACATTGCAATGCGATATCACTGCATCTTGGGGAAATGGAATTTGCACCGCATGCTTGCTGCAGGAACCTTGGATAAATTTTCTATTGTCCGCTATCATTTATATCTAATATGAAGCATTCTACACAGCTCATCTTTAATCCCCATGCTTGTTAAGGAGCTTAAGGAGTAAAAATCAGTTGATTTCAGGGTATTTTGGAGTTCAAGGTCAATATGATTATGTCCTCTTTCTCCTTCTCTCTCTCCCCCCCCTTCTCTTTATTTAAAGGCACGGTCTCATCACAGTTTCCAAAGTTCAATTTCTTTTTCGGTCCCCTAATTAAAAGCTGTCCAGGAGTATATCAGGAGGCTTTTATATGTGAGATCAACCCCTTGCCCTGGGACCAATTATAGAAAAATAGCTTTACACATTTTACTGTTTGAATATCTGATGTTCATACATGCTGTCATGTTTTATGGTGAAGGCATGATAAGAAGCATACCATTATCAGCCCAGGACACAACAGCATTCTCACAGCATTAAAGCCCAGAATGGAAACATCAGATATTATTATTATATATTTATTTAAACCCCAACTTTCCCCCCCTGACAGGTACTCAAGGCGGCTTACATACAAAATAGGAATAGCTAAAAATAGGGGGGGAGGCAATAATTGAAAAACGATTAATCATTAATAGAAAAATACAATAAAAAAAAAATCACAGCACCAACCCTTTCCTTAAAAACAGTCAGTTCCCAAAAGCCTGTTGGAACAAAAAAGTCTTCGTATTTTCGATGGAAGGACAAGAAGGAGGGAGCCAGTATAATTTCCCTATGAAGGGAGTTCCAAAGTCTGAGAGCAGCTGCCAAGAAGGTTCTCTCCTGCATCACTACCAAGTGTCCTGAGAGGGTGGCAGGACCAAGAGAAGGATAACAGACAGCCCACAAACAGTTGGGGTGGACCAGCTTGAGAAACAGTTGGGGTGGACCAGGTTTTGGGGTTGGTCACCTTATAGCAAAAGCTGCAACTGAGGATCCCTAATTGATCACTGGTAGGGGCTGCTATGATCCTTCAGCCCCTGAGCTGGGCATCTGGATAGGAAGTGCTGCCCTCTGAGATTCCTTATGGGGATCACCCATGGAATGGGTCAGGAGGGGCCCTACCCCACCTGTTTCCCTGTAAAGACCCAACCCAATGCCTCTTCCTCCCCTTGCATTGGTGAGCCCATGTCAACTTGCCCCCAGACCCATTATACCTGTAAGCATTCCATCAAGCCATTATGAATGTCCACCTGTTGTTCCACAGTCACCTGTTGTGACTGTTGCTAGTCACTGATGAATGTACTCAGTCTGGCCTGCACAGTTCCATCTTTGTGTGTAATCTTTGGGTGTTGAATCACCTAACTGTCATGTGTCTGCACATTCCACCAGATCACCTTGTTAACTTTTCCCCAAGGCCCATTTATCTAGGCAGGGTCTGTCTGTGGCCCTTCTTCCACAGTTGCCTCTCAAGGAGCTCCAACCAGAAAATTAACATTTGAAGGTACTTTGAAAGCAAAGCATTCAGTTTGGCAACAGCTGTTGGACAGAGGTGAATTCATTTCCTCTTACCAAACTCATTGTCCCCGAGTTGTATGACAAGCACACCTTGAGGTCCTGAAGATGCAATCTGAGATGTCACCAAGGGCATGAAGCTGTCCCACATCATGGCCCTCTGTCCCAACCAGGAAATGTGCATTTTGTCACCCAGATGGAGGTGGGTTTTCCTGTCAGATGGTGCAGCATGCTGATGAGCCCAGTTTGCCATTCTGTGCCCGCAAATCCACACAACTCTGTAGTCAGGACCTGTAAGAGTTCAACAAAGAGAGGTAAAGCTAGGGGTTTGGTGTGGGTGAAAATATGCTCTATAGCATGCCAAGTCCCCATGCATGATGGCCTTAGTACTTAAAGATTCAGGGGAGGGAGAGAAACCGTGTCCTCCCTAAAAGAGGGCACGTGTTGCGGTGAGACCTGGAGACTGACCTCCTGATTGTGGGTGGGTATATTGGACAGCCACAACACTTGATTGGTAGGTCCCTCATTGCTGGGTTTAATCTGGCCAATGGGGTGCAGTCTAAATGGACCAAGGGACCTATGCACATGACCCAGAGCTTCCCCTTTTGACTCGTGCATTGGAACACCCGCCCACCTCTTCCTAATTTTAGGGCATTTTGCGATTGACCTTGCTATGCCATCATGTGTCATCTGTTGTTGGGACAGGGGCACGGCAAGAATTTTCCCCACTTGGCTGATTGGCTGTTGCCATTTGGGTTTCACCTGCCGTGTAGCAAATCGTCACAACTTGTAAGGTTATTTAGGGGGGAGGTCTGGGTCTGAACACACAAAGGAAAAGTGGCCCATTCTCCTTAGTTACAGCAATCTGGGCTAAAGAGCAAAAATTAAGAGTCTTAAATGGTCATTCCTAATTATTCTATTAGTATCATCCAAATCTTTATTTCTCTTGCTGTATCATTATTTATACTAATATTGTTACGATTACAAATGATGAAGCGCTAGCCAAACTCAAAAGAACATGGAAAATATAGAACATGATCACCCCAAAGGTTAAACCCTTTTTGGTCTGATTTAACGAGAGCTAAGCATGTGCTTAATTCTCTCCCCTTTCAATCAAGGCTACTTAAAATTACTTTAACTTTAGCTGAATAGTTGTGTCCCTGCTTAGCACATGTCCTTAGATTAAAAAAAATCATGCATTTCTAACTCTCTGTTGTGCTTGAGGAGAGTTTAAAAATACATTTTACGTGATATTCAAAATGCCATTTCATTCTATATTTCTGTTACTATCCCAAAGGAATTGACTTAATCATGGCGGATGTTTGTTTGGGGTGTATGTGCAGGAAAGCATGTGCCAATGAAAGAAAAGTAGACAAAGAAAGATAGGAGACTTGAGATAATTTTAACTATGGGGATGGATTGGTATATTTATGTGGAGTATTTTTAGCAGTTCATCATAATCATCCCAGTTCTGCATGTTGCATGTTGCAAATTACAGAAATGTAATAGAAAGCCACTCCCGACATACGGAGGGGGGGTTGCGGGCTCACACCATCGCGGGGCTGGCTGCAGCCCCGCGGGACTTGGGGAATCCCGGGGTCATTAAGTTTCATCATTCACCGTGCCAGCCAATCGGCTGGCGGTGGAGGCAGTACTTGTAAGGGGCATTAAAGGTCGGGGCAGCCCATGCTCGCCCCTTTCTTTTCTTTCAGCAGCTGCGGTTTCCCACCCTCCCGCCCTTTAGGTTCTCATTTGGACTTTGCTATGGGCTTCAGCTGGTCGCCGCAAGGGGCCTGGTAGGAGTTTTTCCATTTGGCTAATTGGCTATATTTTGGAAGCCACTTGGTTTTTTCGCCTACCTCGTAGCAAAACGTCACAACACCTTTGGTTTGGGCGGTTAGGCATTGGCAGGGGTATTATTATGCAAATGAGATGGGGGGGAGGAACGCCATCACCTCCCCCAAATGTTGAAGGGTAGTTCATTAAAGGACTCCGGGGGGCGTCGCCTCGTCCGAAACCTATGGAGGCTAGGGCCTAAAGCGCGCTCCCGAGCAGTAACCCCTCGGGGAGCGCCTAGGGATGTGCATCTCGGGGGCTCCCCCTGTTGGTGCTTAACCCTTCCCGGTTATACCAGTTAGTCTGATAGGGCCAATGCCTAAAGCCAATACCGCTCTTACCTGTAATCAATAAAGTTGTGGCCCTTTTTCGCCCATTAACCTAAATTCTGGTGTCCTGTGTCTTTATTTATTCCATCTGTGGGAGGGGGCGGGAATCGCCACGCAACTACCATCCCCTCTAATAGCGATCTTTGGTCGCTGAGTTCCTTCCAGTTTGGAAGCAAAATGCGGCTAACCAGAGCAATGCAGGAACAGCGATTTTCACTGCATTGAAACAGACGGGGATGTAATGTATGCATTATGAATTAACTATCTGGCAAATGTCCCCTTTAAAAGAAACAGGTATGGAGAGCTGACTCAGAGATGTGGCCTGGGAGGATCACTTGGTGACTACTTTATGCAGACTCCCAGGCCTCTTCAGAAATAAAATTTGTTAACCATTCACTCCAGACCCTCCAAGTGTCCCTATTTCTTCAGGGACATCCCTGATTTAGAGAAGCCATTCCGGTCTCTGATTTGATCCCGGAATGTCCCACTTTTCCTTAGGATGTCCCTATTTTCATTGGAGAAATGTTGGAGGGTATGGAGTTATCCGACCCTCGAGCCGTCTGAAGGCAATCCTGTATAGGGAAGTTTTTTTAATGTTTAATTATGTTTTTATATTTGCTGGAAGCTGGCCAGAGTGGCTGGGGCAACCCAGTATGATGTGTGGAGTATAAATAGTAAAATTATCATTATGGAATCGGACGTCCTTCTTTTCATCGAAGAAATGTTGGAGGGTATGTTAACTCGGCTTGTAGTAAGTTTCAACATAATCGACTGAATATAACATTCCCAATGCAGCCAAGGTTCCTGTCTCCGTGGCAGGAAAAGTTAGGAGTCAAATGAGTGACTTGAATGTGTGTGTTAATAACCCAGCCCACTGCCAGCACTGGCCACACCCACTTTTATGTGCCCCCCCCACAAGCATTGCTGAATGCAGGCCAAGACAATTGCCCACCTCTAGACTAGGTTAACATGGAGCAACTCTTACAGGGTTAAGGTGAAGAATATCTGAGCATGAGCAGGTGCCAGAAAAGGGGAAATTAGAAATTCACTTGCAATCTTATTTTTATTTATGAACATATTACAGTGTTGGTGACTCAGACTCAAGGCTTGAAATACAGGTGGGGATTATGAACAGGCTAGATTTCTATTACAAGTCAGGTAGCTGCAAGTTTTACCAATATTGCTAATTTGATCCACTTTTTTTTATTCTCTGCCAGCCTACATATTCTCCCAGGAACCGAAGTCTGCATAGGTAGTTCTATCCCTGCTCTGTCTCCCAGTCTGTGAGGCAGAATGGGCCAGTCACCATCTCTCAGCCTAAAGTCACACAATGAGCTTCAGGAATGGATGAGGTTTTGAACCTAGGACTTCCCAGTCCTCTTTTAACACTTGCAATATTGGAAAGCATTCCAGGTGTGCTCTAGTGGTGCAAACTTAACACAGAGCAGGTCTTTAATCAACTTACAATCAAGTTTAAAGACTTTTCATATTTCATTAAATGCCTGGGTAGAGAGGAAAATCCTAACCTGGTGCCAAAAGGATGTCAGTGTCCACACCAGGTGGACCTCACTGAGAACTAGGAGTGCAAGAAGGCAGCTGTTTTTGTCCATACCTGTATTAATCACATTCAGGGCTGTTTCCATTCCACACCTTCCACCAAATACTACATAATTTGTCTTGCTGCCCACTATTTAACTTGGATCAAGTAAGACCAAAACAAAGTAAAAACAATGTAATATCATTCATTCGCAGATTTAAAAACAACAGCAATATGAATACCATATTTGCTTGGTTGATTGCTATTCCTGATCAAAGACAAACATGCAAACTGTAGCCATTTTAGCTTCCTTTCCTTTTCCATCAGGATTTCGTCCCTATCACGACAGCGCCGTCAGAAGCAGGATGTTGGGGATTGCAGGTGGGGGATAATAATCTTTGAGAAAGCTGTCTGTAATCTTTGAGAAGCCTTGGAGAACAGGTGAGATCCCTGCAGGCTGATGGTGGGCAAATGTTGTCCCCAGCTTCATAAAGCGGGGAGAAGAGGACACAGGCAAACACCGTCTGGTCAGTTTAGGTCAATATCAGGAAAGGTCCTAGAACACATAATTAAACTAAGTACATGATCACTTAGTAAAGGATGCTGTGATTACTAAGAGCCAGCATGGGTTCCTCAAAAAGAAAAAAAAAGTCATGCCAGAGTAATCTTATTTATTTCCCTTTTTTATATATAATGTTACAAGCTTGGTGGCTCAGGGGGATGCTGTGGCCTGCCTGGGAAGGTGATGGTTTCTCCTCCACTGGAGAGCTTTAAACAGAGGTTAGATGACCATCTGTCAGAAATTCTTCACCTGTGATTTCTGCATGGCAGGGGGTTGGACTAGATGACCCTTGGAATACCTTGCAACTCTATAATTCAGTGATTCTATCAGAGTGCTGTTGCGCTCAGCTTTTGCTTGTGGACTTCCCACAGGTATCTGGTTGGCCACTGTGAGAACAAGATGTTGAGTGAAATGGACCATTGTTCCGATCCAGCAGGGCTTATGTTCACAGGCCAACAACCCGAAAAGACTCTCTCTGTTGTTGCTACTCTATGCTTTGATTAAGTTCTAACTCTTAAACTGTAATTCTTTGATTATTGTGTTTTGTAATGTTAGCTGCTCTAAGGGGTTTCAGAAAAGCAGGCTCATCATCATCATCATTGAAAGCAGAGGCATGATACTGTCATGGCAATGCACTTTTAAGCTGATCTCAGCAGGAGGGATTTCAGCACATGCTTAACCCTTCCACTGACATTAAAGAGTCTTTGAAGTCCTTAAATCTGGCTGGTCCTGCCCTAAGTCTCCCCTGTTGCATTTACAGGTCATTTCCATCATTCCAACAGTAGGAAAGTGAAGCCCCCCCCTTTTTTTTTGTTTTAAGGAGTTTATAAATTATGGAAAACAAGTTGACAGCTTGTCCTTATAAATATGAAGATTGCCTTCCATACCCTCATGAATCTGAAAAGTCACTGCTTTTTTTAAAAAAGCGCAAAACTACCGATTCAGCAAACTGAATGAAACTAAGCGTTCCCTGGGTAAGTTTTGCTGACCAGGGAATACTCCAGCAATTTAATTTTTTCTTTTTCTTTTTTGGTGGTCCAACATTTGCTGTGCTTTTTTCCCCTCTTCCAAATATTATTATGTTTACAGAAAGAGTCCTCATTTCCTGCAGAAAGGTCCCATTATTGACAATATGAATATAACAGTGAAATATACTCCAATACCTGAATATGCTTAGAGAATCCAGTTACAGTCCCTGTGGAATGTTCCTTATTTGTTGCTAGCAAGGAAAGCTCTGGGGTGCTCCACATTTTCTGCTTATGCTTCCGACCTTACCATGATAGAGAAAATGCAGAGAAATTTCATCTGATGCCACCATCACTCCACAATTCAACACATGGAAGATATAGCTCCTAAGGGCTCATTCCATGGTAGGAACAGAGGAAGCTGTCTTAGACAAAGTCAACCCATCTAGCTCAGCACTGACAACCCCAGATGGCAGCAGTTCTCCGGGGGCTCAGACAGGAATCTTGCCCAGTTCTACTTGGGGATTAAACTTTGGGCCTTCTGCATGCAGAGCAGGTGCTCAACCACAAAGCAAGGAAGCTTCTTCCCATCAAGGAACATAAGAAGAGCATGCTGGGTCAAACCAATGACCCATCTAGTCCAGCATCCTGTTCTCACAGTGGCTGACCAGATGTCAGTGAGAAGGCTGTAAAGCAAGATCTAAACATAAGAGCATTCTCCCTGCTCTACAGTTGCTAGCAACTGGCATTCAGAAGCACACTGCTCTGACTGTGGAGGCAGAACATAGCCTCCATTGTAGCTAGCAGCAATTTACAGACTTGTTCTCTATGAATTTGTCTAATCTTTTCTTATAGCCTTTTAAATTTGGGGGCCATCACTACCTCCTGCAGGAGTGCTCCACAGAATGACTATGTAGTGCATGAAGAAGTTCATTTTTATATGTCCTGAATCTTTTAACGTTCTGCTTTATTGGACGTCCATGAGATCTAGTGTTGTGAGAGAGGGAGAAAAGCTTTTCTCAATCCACTTTCTCCATGCTATGCATAAATTTAGATGATCATGCCTCCTCTTACTTGCCTTTTCCTTAAACTACAAAGTCCCCAAAATGCTGCAACTGTTCCTCTTAGGAGACTCGCTCCATCCCTTTGATCAAGGCTTTGACCACCATTTCATCTCCCCATTCCTTCTCAGAAGTCCTCCATTGTTTTCACTCATTATACAGTGGATGTAGAACATATCCATCAGGTTTAGTGGCCACTGATAAACCACATCCTCCATGAATTTACCGAATCCTTTAACTTCAAAAGATGTTTAATTTGGGGAATTTGAAGTGCCAGTTCCCTGTTGCTGAGATTCCAGAGATGAGTGTCAGTTTGCCTCCAAAGGTAGAATGGAAATGGTAGGGTGGCAGGAGGCAACAATAGATAGTGGAAGTGGATAAGCGTTCTTCTGCCCCTCTCAATTTGCTTTTGAAACCCAATGCCTCATGGTAGGGCTGGCCTTGATTGTCATTTCATTTTCCTCTCCCAATTCTCCTCCTCCAAAAGTCCCCTGTATTCGTTCTGATTGCAGAATCTTCAATATTCTGGTTGCAGAAATTATACTTTTGGGTGGATCCCACCATGTGCAGTTCTCATATATAGTGGGAGTGAATGAAAGAACAAGGTGTTAGGGAAGTGTTTTCTCCAAAACATAGACACCCCATCCTACTCTTGGGTATTTAATCACCCACCACTTTCAATTAAGTGCTTCCCACTGAAAGAGGATGGGAAAGACTGTAAAGGAAATTGATTTCCTCCTAGCTAATGCATCTTTCCCAGTCTCTGGCCCACCCTTATAAGCTCCCCATTCCTTTCAGAAGGACACAGATTAGAAAGTCACTTGGTCAAGGGGCAGCAGAGGGCACTCCAGGCCAGAGCAGGTTAAGTTGTGGTCACTTTATCTCTTGTTGTTGACGCAAAGGCCCGAGGCCACGGCCTGAGGTTTTCCGGCAAAAAAAAAAAAAAAGTGTTTACAAGCAGGTCAAGGACTTGTTAGCAGATAACCATTAGCAAAACAACTTTGCTATTGACAAAAGCAGCAAAGAAAGGTATGTTTGCAGATGCAATCCTTCCTTTCTAGGACAATAAGGTTAAATCAAAATGGCATTTCTGAGGGTCTGCTTACAAGAGCTTCCTTTCCCCTGCTCCCCTTGAGCTTTTAAGAAGTTGTCCTGCCCTCTCTCTCTGTCTCAAAAAAAGAGCAAGCTTTTTTTGTGCACTAAACTTTTTAGAAACTTAGAACTAAATCAATTCTGGGATTTACTGCTGGTCAGACAGTAGCCAGGGCTTGTTAATGTCTCTTAGCTTTAGACTCTGCTTTCTAATTAGAAAGATGCCCCCCTCCTTCCTTTCCCAACCCATAGCTCATGAAAACGTTTGGCTCTGAGTGAACCTCACCTGGTGTTAGCTTTCATGATTGCCTTCTGAGCACGCCTCCCCCCCCCCAGCCCAAAATCCAGAGCAGGTTCATCAAAAGGTTCCCTGAAAAGTTCAGGAGTCGTTCAAGCAAGCCCGAGCCAATTTATGGTTTTGTACACCAGCAGCTGGGATTCAAAACCAGGGCAAGCTCACCAGACCAAATGAGGCTTTGCCTTCAAATGACACATCTGTTCAAAAGCCAACTAGCCTGGAATTTGCAAAAATGTACTGGGTTTTACACAGGCTTTTTTCCTAGCAAAGGAATTGTTTTGATCTGCCCATCTATCCATCGATCTATTTATCTGTCTCATTCCTTCTAACTAGGACAGGCCAACCCAATTTCACTAGAATGCAAATCCTAGTCAGACTGTGCACTCCTCTGAATTTTTCAATGTACTATTCATGTGCAAAAAATGCACACAAAATGTATACTTTCTGTGAACAACAAACACAACAGGCGTACTTTGCTGGCAAATACATTGAAAAACATTGAAAAAGTATGCAATACATATGCATTTAGGTATGTATGTATGTATGTATGGGTGCAAGGAGATTGAACAATCTATGACAGAGTGCCAGCAAGGCTGAAACGGGATGAAATTAACAGCTTTGCCCATCTTTACTGCTAATATTCAATGCAGAGACTTTTCTCACCCCAAAAACTATTGCTAAGCATCCCCCCTCTATTTTAAATGAAGGAAAGGCTCTGTTTTGCTTATAAATTAACTACTAGCAGCCTTGTAAACAATGCTGATCAGGAATTTGGGGGGAGGGAGCAGTGCAGTTTAGAAAGGTACAATCTGCCATCTTGATTCAAAATGGTGTCCACTGGTAGCCAAACACAGAAGAAAACCTATTCCATGATCTCAGGAACCATTACACACACAAAAATAGTTGTGATATTGTAAGAGGTGTCTAAATGCATGCAGATTTGAATAATTCAGTCCACCATTTTGAATCAGATTGTATCCAAACCCTGCTCCTTGATCACAGGAACCAGCATACAAAATTTGATTAACATTGGTGCAGGCTTCATAGGTTCAGTTTGCCATCCTAATTCAAAATAGTGCCCAAGGGTATCCAATACCTCCTCCCTGATCCCAGGAAACATCACATCAAGTTGGGTTAAGACATCTTCAAAGGTCTCCAGATGCATAGAAGAGACAAACAGCTTCCTAAAATATCTAGTACAACTGTGAAATTGCAGATTTGGAAGTGATCCCAAAGGTCATTTATTCCACCCCTTGCAATCAGAAATCACAGCTAAATAAACCCCAACAGATGGCCATCCAAGTTCTGCTTAAAAGCCTCCAATGAAGGAAAATCCACTACATCCCAAGGTAGTCTATCCCACTGTCAAACAGCTCTTGCCATCAGAAAATTCTTCCTAATATTTAGTCATAATATCCTTTTTTATAATTTGAATCCATTGTTTGGGTCCTCCCCTTTGGAGAAACACAAAATGAGCTTGCTCCATCTTTCATATGACAGCCCTTCAGAAATTTGAAGATGGCTATCATATCACTTCTTAGTCTTCTCTTCTCCAGGATACACATACCCAACTCTTTCAACCATTCCACATAAGGCTTGGTTTCCAGACCTTCAATCATATTGGTTGTCCTCCTCTGCATATGTTCCAGCTTGTCAATATCCTTCTTAAATTGTGTCCAGTTCTGGACATTATACTTCTCTTGATGCAGTCTGGAATTGCGTTAGTTAGTTTGTTATTCAGTTTTTTGCTGTTGCATAACACTGTCAACTCATGGTGGTGGTTGTTTTTTGAATATTTTATTAGTTGATTATAAGAACAACTTATAATCAAATACAACCAATCAAATTCAGTTTTCCTCTAGCTGCTCCCCCAGCCCCAACTACATCCAGGTAATTACATTAGTAATATAATCAAATCAAAAATTATTTCTACAGTTGCTGGTTTTAAAAAATATCATTCCACATGCTCCCATGTGTCTTAGGTGGTTTAAATGCATGTTCTTTCTCTGATGCGTATGTATCAACTCATGTTAAGCTTGTGGTCTACTAAGACCTCTAGATCCTTTTCACATGTACTGCTCTCAAACCAGGTGTTCCCCATCCTACATTTGTTCATCTGATTAGTCCTGCCTAAGTACAGAACCTTACATTTGTCCTTCGTGGAATTCATTTTGTTAGTTGCTAGATGGAATGGAATGAAATGAAATAGCCCTTCTCCACCAATTTGGAATGCAAGAAGGTGACTTTGCTAATAACGCTGGGAAAAAAATATTGTTATCCTACAATATATTACGAAGAGTTCAAAATATACTTTGCCAACAGCAGTGTTTGGAATTGCACATTGTGGGTTGTATGGTGCCTTACTGCTCATGTGTCAGTATTTACCCACATTTTTCTGTTACTGCTGGAATATCTAACACTATCGCAAATCCAATACCCATCCATCTTATCCTCCTAATTCTTCCCTCTTCCCCCAGTGTATGGACCTATAAAAACAGAGTTGTGCTCAATAAACTCTTCCTATTAAAGCTGACAGGTTTTTTGCTTTTTTTAAAACAAACTTGATTTTTTTTTTGTAAAAAAAATAATGACTGTGATTCCGCGAGAAGTGGAAGAAGTTCCTCCAAGTTCCTTTCCAAGCTGTTAAAGATTAGCTTGATGTAGATAAGCCTATTCCCCAAACTCATTATCTGTCTTCAAAATGCACCTTAAGGACTACTTAATAAAGTCAAGGTTATGTGAAGAGTATTTCAGTGAAAACCAGTGAATGACTGTTAATAAATCTGCATTACAGATTGGAGATTTTGTCTCTGTCTTTCATCCCAGCGATAGATGATCCCTCTGTTCTCTCCCTCCCTCCCTTTCTTTCCTTCTTTTTTTTCCTTCTTCAATAAACACGTGTTGCTACTTTGCTAAGGTCACCAGTTTGAATCAGAGGCAGCTGCAGGAAAATAGGAAGAGCATTTTCCAGCATGTTTACAATTACCATGTTCAATGCATTGCAAAAATATTTCCACCACTCCCTGGAAGAAGACTACAGAGGGTGGTGAGGTTGGCCATTTGCTGTGGCCTCAAGTCCAATAAGGGGAGCATAGCCCTACCAGCACCATCATTTATTCTTTTGCTCAAAAATTTCAAGAATATTTAATGGTAAGGAAACAGAATCTTCCCTTTGGCTATACATATACTCTCTTTCCAATTGGGAGAGGTCAACAAGGCTGCATTCACACAGCAGTTTATTCCGTTACTCTGATCTTTCCCAAACTGTTAATTTACACATTATATTTGAGCTTTCAGAATCCACTTCCAAAATTCTAGTGGAACGTTGGCACTTATTTCCATGTTAATTGTTTCGGGGGGGTCTGTTTGGAACCCTAGGAAATCACCCAAGTAAAGTCATGAAATTTGGGTAGTATACCAGGTACAGTATACAGTTTTCATGGGGGAATGGTAAAGGAACAGAAGCATGCATGTGCAGAAAGGGGACAGAGCAGCAGCATTGTTTAATGATGTTTACTGTGTCACTTTTTCAATCTGAGGGCCACATGCCAGTGGTGGGTGGGGCCAGAGGAGAAAGAGGGCAATTTTACTGTTGCATTGTAGGCTAGTTTCTACACTCACACACACACACACACACACACACACACACACAGACGCCTCTCTATCTGCCAACCAGACAAGCAAGAGCCACTATCAAGCAAGGGTTCAAGGACACACACCAAAGACAGGCAAAAATAGGGTGAGTAGTTCTGAGAGCCATATAGAGAGTCTTTCAGGGCCAGATTCAGCTCCTGGGTTTGAGATTTTTCCTGTACGCTTTATAGGATAAAACCAGAACCTTGAATTAAGTATATTTCCTTTCCCTGAGATCCTGGTGAGCTGTGCAGTTAAGAAACCGAGGTTAAGGGGAAGAAGAACAGAACAGATAGAATAAAGGACGGTGTGATATGAAAGTCCAGGCATCATTGCACGAAATGGCATTCCCATACACTTGTCAGGGCTCAGAAGTTTTATTACCAAGGAATTTCACTTCTGCCTCTTATTCTTAACACACTGCCCAGCGCTGGGCCTGAGAGGATTTGCTGATCTAATATAGATAGCGATTTTGTAGGTTTGTTGAGATTTATATAGACAGCACCTTGGGATCAGGAATTACATTTTAAAATGTAATAAAATGCTCCTTGGCATTTTTTTTTCTAAAAAAAAACTTACAAATACCCGTACTTAAAAAAGTAAACATCAAATAATCTCTGATATCTTTCAAGAAAATGTTGACATAGCTCAAGGAGCTTCATCCAGATCCCCGAGTCGTTTGCTAGAGTCAACTTAATAAACTCATTTTCTTCATCCTGCCATGAAGTTTCCTATCCCTAGGAAGATGGAAAGGTAAACCAAAGATTGTTTTCTTTTATACATGTATTTATTTATGTGTAGATCGATAGACAGGTAGATTATTTTTTTACATGTACTGTATGTATATATGTATGTATGTGTGTTTGTACAGTATGTATGTATGTATGTTTGTACTGTATGTATATATATATTTCTTCCACACAATTCACCAAATCCTCAGCCATGGTAGGGGCTACTCCACTACAGCAAATGGGCACTTTGCCTGCAAATGTGGTGTGCAAATTTCGGGGAAGGACTGTAGCTCAGTGGTAGAACATCTGCTTTACGTGCAGAAGGTCTCAGGTTCATTCCCCAGGTAGACCCCTGACTGAAACTCTGAAGAATAGCTGTTAGTGAGTGTCAACAATACTGAACATATATGGATCAATGATCTGGCTCTTAGGCAGCTTTCCGTGTTCCTATGGATTATTATTATCCTCCATATCATTACTAATATAGTGTACCTCTTCAGAATGGGTCATCTCCTTGTCCTCCACCATCTTCTGCAACTCTAGAACTGGTGGAGGACAACTATCTTAGACTACATATCCCATTAGCCCCCAAATTCCTTCAGAACTCTTCAGATGACTTGCCTGAGAGCCAAAGTACATGAGGTGAAGGAGGAGGCTCCTGATTTTGCTTTTCAGTAAAATACACCTTTAGGGGTGGGGAGAGACTGCAAAATCTGAGCTTGCTTCAAGCTGAGGTGAAGAATTGTGAACTGGAAAAGTTCACATCCTGAACTCACCCGATGTCTCCATCACTAGTCAACATCTACTTTGCCTTGAACTTTTTCCTTTAGGCAAAATTCAAGGCCAACTCTAGTACAAGAGAATTACAAGTTTTGACCTATGAGTGGAAAAAGTGATTGTTGTCTTCCAGCCATAAGCCCTGGAAACCTAGAAGTAATAACAGCAACCGTTGCTTTCATAAAATGAATGGATAAATAGGTGGATTGTTAGATGATTATTATGATTATGATGATAATGATGATGATGATGATTATTTCTTACCTCCCATTCCCTGAAAGTTACCAGGGTGGATAACAGCAATGTAAAAATACAACATTAAAGTAAAAACTACTTAAATAAGATGCCAGACATAGCACTGTGGGGAAGGAATGCCCTCTCCCAGGCCATTATACCCCAAACTTTTGAGGGTGGTGGAACTACCAGGAAGGTTTCCTAAACATAGCTATGGCTGTATAATCTATATACCACCCCTCATTTTAAAAAAAATCACAGGATTTTTAATTTTAATTAATTTACCTTTTTTGCTGGCCTTATCACAATTCTATTTGTTCTGCTCTGACCTTCATCAGATGTCTCACCTGAGCAGGACTCTCCAAATCCGATTCAGTGTAACTCTAAGCACAGTCTTCTCATTTTGTCTTCTCCAACAAACTTGCCAGAGCAACATTGGTTTTCTTGCTCCTGCCTGTCATGAAAGCATTGAATCCAGACCAGCAAGTCAGGGGGAGCGAGGAAGCATTATAGAGAGCCCTCTTTGCATAGCAACTTTGCACACTACCCAGGTCCAGGTGACAGCAGATAGGTTCCACTCATCAATAGTATATGAACAGCTAATTAATCATTAACCAAGGCTTTAATAAATGGTTACTCACTTGTTTGCCAATGTGGAACAAAGAACCAGTTGCGTGTGGGATGATCACATGACATTCTACAAAGGCAACTTCAGATGAAGATGATGCTGATGATGTGCAGGCTACTTTTCAGTAGGGAAGTTCATCATTCTATGTGTCCCCTGAATAATGAGGGTGATTTGGGGAAGACTCCCATATTCTCAAGTCAGATCATGCCATTAAAAAAGTGTCTAGACCAGAAAATCTTAAAAGCAGTTATTTTGCCTCTGATTTTCCAAAAAGCTAAAAACACAGCAAGGGATGAGTGTCAATTTTTTTGTTAACATCTCATTTTTCCAGCCTTAAGTTCAGTTCTTCATATTTCAATGACAAAAATTTTTTAAGTCTCTCTGTAAATTCATCTGCATTTTAGTGTGAATTTTACCTAACATGCACATTTTTGCAAAGCAATCCCCCCTTTTGTATGTTATTTTCACTAACATATGCATTTTTATGGGCACTTTACCATCATATAGGCATACATATAGACACTTTACCATAGTATAGGAATACTATTACCTGGCTGGAAAATTATTACCTGGCACTGCAAAATTCAGAGAAATGCAAACGTCAACAGATAACTTTTTTGTTCTTGTTGTTCTCCTAGTGTTTCAGAAAGTGTGGGTTGGGCAGGTTCTCTTTTAAATATGAACTGAATCAAATATCTCCCCCATCCCTACACACAACTTTCCCACCCTTTCTCTTTTCATACCTTGAGAAATGAAAACCATATTGACTCAAGAAACACCCAGAGCTTGAGAGGCGAGGGGTGCAGATGAGAGGGAGGTGATGGACAAACAGAGGAGGGGATATTTTGCTTTGGCTAACAAGTCTAGCTTTTAATCACAATAAATTATTTCCCCGGTGCACTCCCATCATAGTCATTTGTGGATGGAATGAACAAAGTAGTTCCTTCATGTGAGTTGCAATTCTCCTCCAAGTCTTGGCTGAGAAAGCAAGGCATAAGTGGTGGTAAACAAAGCAAAACGGGAAGAAAATTATTGTTGTTGTCTTACCCACCCTTCACCACAAGGTCTTGAGCCGGATTGCAACAATTTAAAAATAGCAGATAGCCATTGCACTACAGAAGGCACAGTTTATTGTGTGGCCAGCAACCTGCTTATGCATTCTCTTGCTCAACAACTGCCTGCTGGTGGAAAACTTTTTGCCAGCAGAAGAGGAATGCTGAAAGTAATTTAGGATAGCCTTGAGGACTAGACACTTGCTGGATATCCAGCATGCCCTCTGTTCTGCACCAATTCCCAGACACCGCCCATAAACTCACATCATGGCCTCTGGCTATATACTGTCCTGATATACTTTGCTTCATAGTTTTGCAAAATAATAATAAAAAAGGTTAGTGGAAATGAAACTAGAGCTCTCCTGCTCAAGAGCCAATTTGCCAGGACAGCCTGGGAATCCCCTTGGAAAGGCGGGGGGTTTGAAAGATTTTATGCTTGCTCACTCCAATTCCACTGACTTAAAGGATTAAGGGGTTGAAGAAAAGAAGAAGCAGGAAACTGAAGTTGACATGAATGCCGCACAACTGTTGAAGTGTATACTCTCCTCCCTCTAGCTTTCCCCTTTTCTTTCCCAGTTAATGAATAACTCTGGATGTTGTAACTTATCTTGCTTGTACTTGGGGGGAAATGCACTTGGGCAGTATCCCTTAATTGGTGTCTTAAGCATGTCAGACATATCTGTCTTATCACAAAGCTTGTAAAAAAAAAATGAAGAGCAGGGCTCCCCCAGATGTAGGGGTGGACTGCTTTGACTTGAGATTAAATACTTTGTAGAGATCAGGCCATGCTCTCTCTCTCTGACACACACACACACACACACACACACACACACACACACACTTTCCATTTATTCTGGGAAAGTTTGCCCTACCAAGCAATGCAGAAAAACAAATCACTTTTCTTCCAAACAGAAAAAGGAATGGATGCTAATTCTTCTACTGAGCTTGAGTTCTAAGTGCAGCCTAGAAAACCCTCTTGGCATTGGCCAGCTGACAGCTGTTTTTCTTAGGGCCTGCCAGAAGGGGTCGCTGCGGTGCACAGATTTCAAAGCTAGATACGTGAAGGGGAAGAGGAAGATGCTTTGGAAACAGAACTAAAGGAGAGAGATATTTGGTAAGCTTCCCACCTCCCCTTCTTTAGAAATGTGATGTTTGGCTAAAGTCTAAGCGGAAGTCCTTCCATTGTTGCCACAGCCTTTTTGTGAGTCTAATCCCTCATGCAGGACATTCGATCCTCAAGCCCATGCTATTACCCCACAGTGTATTATGGATGGCAAGCTAGCTCGGGGATTAGAAACACATAAAATGCTCAGAAAAACATTTGTTGAGATTTCCCATGCACACTGATGCAGATGGACAGTTAGATTCCACTGCTGGAATTCAAAGCCGTCCATTGCCACAGTGTGCAGCGATGACTACGGGGAACAGAGGTGTTTGCAAAAGTAACATTTTCACAATTAATAATGGCCTCTTCCATTAATTAACTCTTTCAAGGGTGTGCATCAAACTAAGTTATACTCAGAGTAGACCCACTCAAATCAATACACTTCAATTCATTGTGCCCATTAATTTCAATGGGTTTACTCTGGGTAGGTCTAGCAGATATAACCCACTGGATCCCCTTCAGGTGGGTAAAGCTGCTTCTACACATTGCTCCTGAGGGCTTGCAAACAGGCAAAGGATATACTTTATTCAAGAGCTTATTGAAGTAAATGAGCAAAGAACTGGGGTTTGAGAGTTGAAATCAAACCCCAGTTCTTTGCTCACACATTTCTCTCCTGCCTCCATCCCTAAAGGTACTGTACGGATTCTTCAGAGCCCTATCTTGCCTCAGACTTCTGTCATCTCTGCCTTTCCCCTCAAATTTCTTATATATCCCTTTTGCATCTCAATTCATTGTCTACACAGTACCCTTCCTTCTGCACCTAAGTTTCTGGACTCCTTGTCCTTCAAATCCCCTACTTCCTGAGAACTTCTCCTGTCCTTGGCCTGCTCCACAAATCTACTCCTGTTCCTGTGGCCTCTGTGATTTTGTTAAATCCCAGCCAAACCAACAAGTTTTCCTTCCTATGATAATCCTGGACTGTAAACATTCCAGAAAACTTACTGTCTTTCCTGTGGAGCTGGAAAGCTTGTGAACTCTTATGCCACTCCACCAGATCAGCCAATCTGAGGATTCATTGCCACAATAGTGCAGATTTCCTGTTGAGGGCATTGCTGTTTAGGCATGGGGCTTGTCCATTCCTGTAGGTCTTTGTCATACTTCTTTAGGATCTTGCTTCCTTGTTTGTTCTAGCAGTAATCAAAAGAGGAATCACCCTTTCCTCCACTCAAGTGACCCGTGTTTCTCACTGATGAAAATGCTTCCATTCACTTGCCTTAGAACAACTTATAATACACATTTTACAGATGAGGAACTGAATCTGGGGGGTGTTGTCCTGATGCTGAGCTAAGATGTGAAGCCAAATTTATTTATTTATTTATTTATTTATTTATTTATTTATTTACGGCTATTAGCCCATAAAGTATGTACAAACATAAAAGCACAGAGGCATAAAGACTAATATATTCGGCACCAGAAGGTGAACACCATGATGCAGGGGTGGGTCATTGAGCAGAGCCAGATAACAGCTTGGGGCCCGGAGAGCTCCAAGGGACGGATCCCAATATTTGGGGCAGAGCCACACCATCCATTTAAGGCCCACCCAAAGCACATTTAAAGCATATTACTTTCTCCAAAGAATCCTAGGAACTGTAGATTGTTAAAGGTACTGTGAATTGCTGTTCTGTGAGGGGGGAACTACAGTTCCCAGAATTCTTTGGAGAAGTCATGTGCTTTAAATATGTGTCGGATGGGCTTTCAGTGTATGGGGTGGATCTGCCCATGGTCACCAGCCACACATATGATCCTTAGGTACCATTTTCTCTTGTTTTTATTTCTATGTATAACTACATATACACAAAGTTTAGAGCTCAGCCTCCCCTAAATAAAGAAAAAAAATTCAAAAAAATTCTGAGAAACCTTTTGAGATCTCTCATTTACCCCATTCCAAAAGAAAGGCCACACTGCAGAGTTTTCTCAGAATATATCACACAATTTTTGTAATGGACTCCATCTCCCCCCTGCCACATATGTGCACAATGTCCTCCAAAAAAAGCTAAATCTTAGAGATTGCAGATGATGCACAATTGTTGTCAGGCATTAGTAGCAAAAAAAGAAAACCTGGCAGGGGGTAGGAACTGTGCTCTTGCCACAGTTGAGGAAACTATTGGAGAAACTTCTTGAGAATTTATCCTGTCCCTGGAGAAATTTGATGAAATGCTCCCCCTGCTCACCATTTCTCTGCCTTCAAATAGGATGGAGAGTTTTGATCGGGCCATTTGCACACAGCTCCTGTTTATTTGCACACATTATGAATCACTTTTTCGAATGAGCCTTAATCTTCTCCATTAGTTCCATCAAGGAAAAGCATCATCCTTCTCAAAAGAGGCATTACACAAAAACGAGAAGCCTGTCAGCCCGACAATAAGCACATTTATTCAAAAGTCGGTCCTTCTCCTTTCAATGGACTTTTCTGGTAAAATGTGCTTAGGTTGGCAGTCTATCCTTGCAATTCACTTTGCGCAGCATGGAATTTGACTCCAACCATTTGTGCAGAAAAGGCAATGAGGCAGGACTAATCTTACCAACTAAGATAGTTACCGTCCCGTAAAAACTAAGATCTCAAAGAGGGAGATAAGTTGGCTCTCCAATTAATCTGGCCACCAAGGGTGTTTCATTGAGAAGTAATTTTTAAAAAAACTTCCTTACATTTGGTAGATCATTTAGTACATTCAGAACAAGCTTCAGATTCCCAGTCAGAAGCCACCTCAAAGCCTTCATAGAGATGGATTTGTGTCATAATTATACCATAGCTTTGAAAGAACTATACCATATTGAAGAGAAGATGACTAAGATTCAATATTGGACAGACATGAATGAATGATTTCATGGAAACTACTGAACAGAGTCAACATTTAGAAATCAACATGCCAGAAAATATTTAATCCCATGGTGTTTAATAAATATGTGATAATCAGGCAGGGAAATTGACCTCATTGAACCCCACCCATCATAATATTTCCCTCTAAACCATGATGGGAAATGGTGCAGAGTAGCTTTTGTCTCACTACATCAGGAACATAGGAAGCTGCCTTATATTGAGTTAGACCATTGGCCAATCTAGCTCAGTACAGTGGTACCTCGGGTTACATACGCTTCAGGTTACAGACTCCCCTAACCCAGAAATTGTACCTCGGGTTAAGAACTTTGCCTCAGGATGAGAACAGAAATTGTGGTCATGCGGTGCGGCGGCAGCAGGAGGCCCCATTAGCTAAAGTGGTCTTCAGGTTAAGAACTGCTTCAGGTTAAGAACAGACCTCCGGAACGAATTAAATACTTAACCCGAGGTACCACTGTATTGCCTAGGTCAGGGGTCAGCAAACGTTTTCAGCAGGGAGCTGGCCTACTGTCCCTCAGACCTTGTGTGGGGCCAGACTATATTTTTTGGGGGAAATGAACAAATTCCTATGCCCCACAAAAAATCCAGAGATGCATTTTAAATAAAAGGACACATTCTACTCATGTAAAAACACAGTGATTCCCGGACCGTCCACGGGCCAGATTTAGAAGGCGATTGGGCTGGATCCAGCCCCCAGGCCTTTGTTTGCCTACCCATGGCCTAGGTTGACTGGCAGTGGCTCTCCTGAATTTCAGACAGGGTTCTCTCGCAACCCCACCTGGAGATGCCGGGGACCGAACCAGGGGAAATGTTATAGCTGGTGTTATATTTCCCATTACAGAGCACGGTAGAACACAGAGCATCGTTTTATTCAGAGCAGTCGAGGAGCTGAATCACAAACTGAAGCAGAGAATGCACAGAGCGGCTCACAAACAGACCAGAATATTCATACACAGAGAGATTCATGGTGAATCTTGGGGTCTGTGCACACTCCTCATATAAACAGCTCTTGGACATTTGTCATTTGGGGCAGGCAGGAGATTTTGGATGCCCTCCTAATATTTTTTCTGCAGAAGTTAGGATGTTTCATTCGGGAAAATACTCTTCTGTTCTCCCTGAATATAGACTGATATCCAATGTATATGTTATTTTTATAATATAAATAATATCATGCTCAGCATACCGCACTTGCTGACCATCGTACAATTTTTTTTACAATCAGGAGAAAGGCTGTTTGTGCATTGTTATTGATATCCAAAATTGTGCCAAGCATCATGGTATTGCTAGAATGAAGACCCTTTCTCCCTTTCCTCCTCCCCCCTCTCTCTCTCTGTGTGTGTGTGTGAAGGCTTCCTTTAATAGCTCTGAATTGTGGGCAAAGCATAAATATGGCTTTTCTGTGGCTAGGACTATCACCCATCTTATTTATGACTGACCTGGTTGGGTACCGGTGACCTTGGGGAGTTTAATTGAGGCTGGGATTATATGACACAGCTTGAAGCCACCTGAATTTAAAGGGTGCGACACATATGCTCTCATTTCGATTCTCCTGTGTGAATGGCACCACTGTTCTTATCTCTTGGAATAATGTCTAAATATGTAAGCCATATGACAGTAAAATGGCCTCCCAGTGCCATTGGAATCCTGCTGCCTTCCCCAGCAATTTCCCCCCTTCTTATATCATTTTTTTTACAGCCAACTCTTAACTTTTTTATGAATGTGATTTTGGCAAAGAATTGAGCTTGTAAAATATAGGTGGGGGGGAGGAGGGGGGAGATACATGGACACAATGTACTTAGCTCTCTGTATTGAGATTGTATTTAACATCCCTTTAATTAAATTGTTAACATGCCTGATGAATGTCCCTTCCTTTCACCCTGCCCATTTCACTGAAAAGTAATAAATTCTTAAAGTCACTTAATGCAACTGAATATTTTTTTTTTGTTGGGGGGTGAGATTGAGAAAGCAGGGAAGGCTCATAAGAAAAAAGGGTAGAATAAAGCGGAATGGCTGAGATATCAGCTAGCCAGTGTGATATTTTCTCACTGGTGGCTGTCCCAAGATAGATATAAACAGCTCTACTTAAGCTTGCCTGAATTTGCAGGATAAAAAGAGAACACCATTGCTGTTGTTTTATGACACAGACAATTGCCACTAGACACTGAACAGATGATCTTCAACTTATATCATTTACATTCTCAGTTGATCTTCTTCTAACCAGAGTCCTCAATGGGCTTATATATTTTTTCCCTTGCAGCCAAAACCAGCACCAGAAATCAGTGGAGTCAAGGAACTGCAAGGCCCATAACCGTTAAGAGCCTTAACTACCGAAGCTGATCATCACCATAAGGGATAGGGGAGATATTTTGTGCAGTCCACATATTAATGCAGACTTATTTAATTCACACTCCCCTCACAAAAAAAGTGAATTAAAATGCTATCCTTTCAAATTTGCACTTCTCTAGAATTTGCAATGCAGTTCCGCAACCATTTTTCTTTTCTTTTCTGAAGTATGTATATTAGGAGAAAGTCTGGGTAAAAATGCATGTATTAGTGAAAATAGCAGGTTTTATTTTTAACAAAGTGCAAATTGATGTCAAAATATGGCCAACTGAATTTAAGATAGGAAAAAGGGAGAAACTTAGAAAAAACGAAACTGCCAGATTTATCCATCCCATTTACCCTTTGGGTTCTTTCATGGTCTAGGCCATTTTCTTAAAAGGCTATTTTGGGGACTTCACCTAAACTGTTGGAGAATCTCAACCTTAATTGCCCTTTGGAAAATAAGTGACAAAGTGCCTCCCCCACCCCAATGTGACCACCAACAAGAAGGGAGGGGAACTTCAGATACAACTGGGGATCCAACCCACTGTATTTCCATATTGTTTAAGGAAGCAATAGGCTTGGCTCTTACTCATTCCAGATCCAGCTCTGCTGGAATACAGGAAGCTGCCTGTATACTGAGTCAGACCACAGGTCCATCTAACTCAGTGTTGTCAACAGTACATTGACTGGCGGCAGCTCTCCGGGGGTCTCTCCTTGCCCTACCTGGAGATGCTGAGAATTGAACCTGGGCCCTTCTGCTTGCAAAGCATGGATTCTGCCACTGGCCCTCTCCTGAGTTATGGTCATTGGGAAGGGCAAGGGTTGAGGGAAGACTTCAGAAACTGACACCTCAATATGCTCAAGGATCCTTGAAGAGGAGTCACCTCTTCTCCATATGGGTTCAGTTGCCATTGTACTTTGTCTCTCCTGACCTATTTTATGGGGGTGGGGGAAGCCCTCCTAAAAACTCACGAGAGCAGCTGGACATCTCTGGAACAGCAAGAGCCTGCTGGAGATGCAGTGAGTGCTGCAAGAGAAGTTCTAATTGTTGCCAAAGTGTTGTGATCAAAACAGCTTGTGGTGTGAGAGACGCAGAAGAGGCTGTGGCTGCCAGCATCATTAGGACTAATCTGTAGGCCTGGTGAAAGGAGGTGACAACAGGGAATGGGCATGTCCTAAACTGAAGAGATGTTAGCAGTAGTGTAGTGCTGGGTTCAGAAGTGCCTGGTTTCTTCGTGATAGCCACAGCCATACACCCTTAGAGCCACACCCCTTTCAAAGAGTATACAACCTTCTGAGATTATAAAGGAATCTTATAATTATATATTAATATAATAAGGGATGCATTTCAATGACCATTGCAGATGTCCATGCACTGCCTTTTCAAGTAGATCTACTTTTTTCTGGGCACGTACATGGGCAAATGATTTGGAGTGCTCCAATATCTTCTTTGGAATGACTTACTGTATTTTTTGCTCCATAGCACTCATTTTTTTCCTCCTAGAAAGTAAGGGGAAATGTCTGTGCGTGTTATGGAGCGAATGCCTACGGATGGGGGATCTGCTGCAGTCGTGAGCAGAGGATCCATGGTTCCCCTTCCTTCCCTCCTCCGTGGCTCGCTTTGTTCGCTTTGAAACAGCAAAGCGGGAGAAGAGCTGCTTAGTGGGGAGAAGAGAGGGACAGAGAGCCTGGTTACAAAGCACGGATCCACATGGATCCTCAGGATTTTTGCACTGGGTCACCCCAAATTCACCATCAGATCACATAGCATGTCCATGGCTACAGCTTGCACCAAAAAATCACGCACTCACTGTTGCCTGGGGCCGCAGTGGTGCAAAAACGTCATTACAAAGCATGGATCCACATGGATCCTCAGGATTTTTGCATTGGGCTACCCCAAACTCACCGTCAGATCACATGTCTGTGGCCACAGCATGAACCACAAAAATCATACACCCACTGTTTCGTTTAGAATATTTTTTTCTTGTTTTCCTCCTCTAAAAACTATGTGCGTTTTATGGTCGGGTGCGTGTTATAGAGCGAAACATACGGTAAATTGTGTTTTCCTTGAAGTTCCATTGTAAGTAACAGAACTTGCACACCATTCTCTTGAAATGGGAGCAGCTTGTGCTTTCCATGTTCCTTAATGCTTTGTGCTGGAGCATACAGAACAACTCCTCCTTGGTGTTCTCCCTGCATGCCTTCTCCAGAATGACTCCAGGAGCCAATTCTCAGCGGAAGACTCACCTCCATTCACTCTGGTTGGCTCCAACCAGCACAAAAAGTGAGAAGACATCTTCTCAGTGGCTTAAAAGGCCCTCTTTCATACAGATTGGGATGCTCTAGGATGCTGCAGAAATAGTAAAGGGTCTTTGACCCCACTCCCCATGACTCCAGACCACCACATCTCTGTGTACTGCACGGGCAGAATGTCAGTGGACAAATAAAGAAGTCTGGTAGGCCAGATTAGATACACAGGCTAGAGGTTCCCCATGCCTGTCCTCGATGATATACATCATGATAAGATTTCTGTGTAGGCAAAGTGGGATCGTACATGTTGTTTTACTATCCAGGTTTAATAAAGCGCTCCTTAAGAAGACTGTGAAGCATTTACCATAGGTTGACCCGTACCTCTTTCAAGAGCTAATGGGAGAACAATCTCTTAAGAACAGATGTGTTACACCTCTGAAGAAGCAAAGGAAACAACAAAAAGTATCTGAAAAAGCAGGTCTCTTATTTATTACATTTTAATAGAAACTCACTGCTGGCCTTATCTGATGCTATTCGGGTTAGGTTCCATGGTTTTTGTGTGTTTGACCAAATTCCCTTATCTTCTCATTGCTTGTGTTCTGCTCCGCTAGCATCCAAGGCATGCTGATATACTTATCTCCTGTTTTATAATAAAGCTTTGGCTTCCATGAGCTGGAAGGGAAGGAGAAGAAAAAAGGGGGAGAGCAATTTAGAAGATGCCGAACTTATCAGGGGTCCGACTTGTCAAGTCCATCGGTATTTTTAGTCAAGCTGGGGGGGGGGGACCCAACACTTGTGCTGGAGTAGATTTATGCAGTGAAGTGAATTTAGCTTATTTAAAGGTTCAGTATCAGGAGATTGGATCTCAAGGGTTTTTTTATCTTCTTTTTTCCCTGATTCAGTGAAGTATATACAGAAAGTCCTCAGAGGCAGATTTACCAAAGTACTAACTAGCTAATCCACCCAGCAATAAATGGCAAAGCAGAAATGGACTGAGCATCCAAGCGAAATGCCCCAATCAATAGAAAGTTAGATTGGTTACTTTTATATTAAGCCACCTCATTACCTATGGTTAACAAGCCCACTTCAAACCATGGTTTGTGAAGTTGGCTTGCTTACTTGGCGTTGTGTGGAGACCTGTTCTCCGAGGTCTTGAAAGTTTTCTTCCCCTGTGAAAGAGGCTTCCTTTTTACTCTTATATTAAGCCATTTCATTACCAATGGTTAAGCCAGCTTCAAGTTATGGTGTATGAAGCTGGCCTGTTTGTTTAGCACAGTGCCAAAACATGTTCTCCAATTTCTAGATATTTATCTAGGAAAGAAGGTTCCATTTTTCTGTCATATTCACAAGCTGCTTTATGATTCCTTTAACTTGTAGGGTGGTCAAGGACAGTGTATGCCTGCTTTTCTTTCCAGTAAACACATTTACCAAGCACTATGAAGCCTCCCCAGTGGCCCACACTTCTTCTGAGACCTCTGCAGCGTTTTAGATAGGAGTCTTTCTCAGCCTTACCTGCAGATGCCAAACACCGAACCTGGGAGAGCCTTTTACTTGCAAAGCACTAGGCTGTGCCCCTCCACCAAAGGATATTTGTAAAGACATAAAAAGCTGCTTTAGACCATCAGGCCATTGGTCTGTCTAACTCAGCATAGATCTTTCGTTCTTAAATATATAGATTTTTCATGAATTATAGCTCCTTTAGATAACTCTAGAAGTTTTAAGACCTGTGAATCTTTGGGGCCACACTGAGTTTTGTTCTATGGTTGCTAGTTCTCTGCCTTATGTGATGTTATGGTTTTATTTTTGTATACAGCTGCAGACCCTCCAAGTGTCCCTATTTTCCAGGGACAGTCCTGGATTTACAGAAGTTGTCCCAGTTTCTGATTTGATCCCAGGATGTTCTGCTTTTCCTTAAGACTTTCCTATTTTCATTGGATAAATGTTGGAGGGTATGGAGTTATCTGACCCCAGAGCCATCTGAAGGCAGCCTGCATGGGAAAATTCTTTTAAAAAAATGTTTAATGTTTCATTATGTTAATATATATGTTGGAAGCTGCCCAGAGTGGCTGGAGCAACCCAGTCAGTGGGTGGGGCATAAATAGTAAAATTATTATTATGGAATAAAGGTAAAGGTACCCCTGCCTGTTAGGCCCAGTCACGGACAACTCTGGGATTGGGTGCTCATCTTGCTCTAAAGGCCGAGGGAGCCGGTGTTTGTCCACAGACAGCTTCTGGGTCATGTGGCCAGCATGACTAAGCCACTTCTGGCGAACCAGAGCAATGCACAGAAACGCCATTTACCTTCCCGCCATCTACTTGCACTTTGATGTGCTTTCGAACTGCTAAGTGGGCAGGAGCTGGGACCGAACAACGGGAGCTCACCCCATTGCGGGGATTTGAACCACTGACCTTCTGATCAGCAAGCCCTAGGCTCTGTGGTTTAACCCACCCACATCCCTATTTTCATCAGAGAAATATTGTAGGGTGTGCAACTGTTCTTCTCTTCTTTTTTGTAAGCTACTCAGAGAACTTTAGTGAATGGGTGCATGGAGTAGGTAAAATAAATGAATAAATAAAAATGACTATATTATTAATAATTAATTAATTAATTAGTACTCTGTAGATTTGTAACCTGTCTTTTCCCCTGACAGGACTCAAGGTGTCTTACAGATTAAAACGAAAACTGTGGAAAATCAACCATTAAAATACAATTAAACACTGATAGAACTACAACCATATACATATATAAAATCTGTTTAAAGCATACCAAGAATTACAATAAAAACAGCACAGCACCAGCCATTTCATTAAAAGAAGTCAGTTCCCAAAAGCCTGTTGGAACAAGAAAGTCTTCACCTATCAGCAGAAGGAGAGCTAGGAGGGAGCCAGTCCAGCTTCCTTAGGGAGTTCTGAAGTCTGAGAGCCACCAAGGAGAAGGCCCTCTCCTGTGTCCCTACCAAGTGTGTCTGTGAGAGCAGTGGGACCAAGAGAAGGGCCTCCTTCCAAAGGGAAAGTTCATATGAGGGAATATGGTCTTTCAGATAGCTTGCACTGAAGTCTAAACCTATGGCATCTTTTACCATCTTGGCACCAGCTACATTTCCCATCAGCCGCTATCTGATGTTGGTTGAGGGTTTTGTAGTCCAAAGCATCTAGAGGGTGCTAAGGTGGTGATGTCTCTTCTACAGCAACAGGCAACTACCCTGTGCTGTATCAACCTTTTAAAGTCATCTTGAGTATGCACCTCTGTTTTGAAACAGATCCATTCATGTCTGTGATCCTACATCAATGGGTCATGCATTTAGAAGTGGGATGGCGGCACTGAAGCCCAAGGAATTCAGAATCGAAAGGGGAAATTGCATTATCCACAATAGCTCATCAAAAGCGGGGGGGGGGGGGGGCTTTGTCAAAATTGGCCTAGATTTCTCATTAAATCACTCTCATGGGTTTCTCAGCATTTCCTGTTTCTGGGAATCTGCAGATGCAAAAGTATGGGAAAATAGCAAATTCTCAGAAATAAAAGAGAGAGGGAGAGAGAGAAATGTCATTAAGCTATAACGTTTCCCCGGTATAGCAAAATGTAGCCAGTTTCTTACATCACATTAAACAGAAGCTTAGAACTGCTGGCTTACAAACAGGAAATCTTGATGATGGGTTGTATCCAGCTAAATGCTGCTGAATACCAGTTGCTGGAAGCCACAGGAGGGGAGAGGGCTCTTGTGCTCAGGTCTAGCTTGTGGGCTTCCCACGGGCATCTGGTTGGCCACTGTGAGAACAGGATGCTAGACTAGATGGACCATGAGCCTAACCCAGCAGGTTCCCCCATGTTCTTATATTCTTTGTGCACAAGGAACAACATCCATAAGTGCAGCAGAACTCCCCACTTCTCTCCCTGTATGTCCCACAATCTGCACTGGGTCCCGTCCCCCCACAACATCTCTCCGGACCAGATTTGGGAGTAGCGTGGAGGCAGGCTGGGGTCAAGGGTGAGAGGGAGAGGAAGTTCTGCTCTACTCACATCAGTTGTTCTGCATGAGTGTAATGATTTTCTTGGCTAGAACCCAAGGTTTTCAAGAAATAAAATACATAGATGTGCTGCCAGATCTAAGGGAAGCTGTAGCCCTTCACTCTTGTTTGGAGGCAGATGATACAGTTCTGTTTTATAGCTAAGCAGGTCTGTTCCAGTTTGGATGAGAGACTATCTAGGAACCCTATGGAGGCTACTTTGGCTACATATAGAGAATGAACTTCAAAACAAAGTATATGTAAGAAACAGCGGTGAGCCCAAACTAACCATATTACTTTCCCACCAATATTTTCAGTGGCACTTAAAAAAACACACACACATTAGTTTTGGGCAGTTTTTGGACACCCCTTGCATAAACGTTTACTTATCTGATTACAGTGCCCTTTTGTTGATCTAAGCTTCATCTGCCTGTGCAGATTTGTGACCTCATCCTCTGTGCTATATGCATTTGCGACCTCACCGTGTTAGCTAAATGATCCCTCATTGGCTAGACTGCCCAGGTAACTAAGCCAGGAAGGTTAAGGTGGCAGCAGTCAGAAGGAAAGTAACACCCAAAGGAAACCATGATACTGGACAAGAAATTGGGGTGGAGGGGATGAATATTTACTCCAACAGTATTTTAGGAAATAGTTCTACTTCAGTGAAATTGATATATATCAGCTGAAAATGGGAAAAAAGAAGATAACATACAGTCCTAGAAATAGTTGAATGCAGTCTATTGGAAAAATAGCATGGGAAACTGATCAGTTAGACTATTTGCCCATCTACATAGGAGCATTGGAAGCTTCCTTTTACCAGGTGAGACCATTGCTACATCTTTCTCAATAATGTTGAGACATATCCATGATTGCTCCCTGGGGGAGGAGTCCCTTTCCATTCTTAAGGAAATCAGCCCTGAGTGCTCACTGGAAGGACAGATCCTGAAGCTGAGGCTCCAAGACTTTGGCCACCTCATGAGAAGAGAAGACTCCCTGGAAAAGACCCTGATGTTGGGAAAGATTGAGGTCACAAGGAGAAGGGGACGACAGAGGACAAGATGGTTGGACAGTGTTCTCGAAGCTACCAACATGAGTTTGACCAAACTGCAGGAGTGCCTGGCGTGCTCTGGTCCATGGGGTCACGAAGAGTTGGAAACGACTAAACGACTAAACAACAACTCTCCCAGCCCTACATGGAGATGCTCAGGCTTGAACCTGGCACCTTGTGCATCTAAAGTAGACGTTTTACCACTGAGTCGCAGCCCTTCCCTAATATAGTGTCTGTTTTGTTTTGCATAAGCTTTCTAGCATCCCAGACATCGTCCTTTCAGATAACCTGCTATACATTAACTGGAGAATGAAGGGGCTGAACCTGGAACCACCTACATGCAAACCATGTTGTTTACCAATGTCTACCATAACACAAATATGAGATGATGGTGGTGGTGGTGATTGAAATATTAAAATCCAAAGGCCTATGTGAATAAGAATCATAGAATCATACTCCTGTAGAGTTGGAAAGGACCCCAAAGCTCATCTAGTTCAACCCCTTGTAGTGCAGGAATCACAGCTAGAGAATGCATGGCCATCTACACTCTGTCTGAAAACCTCCAATGAAAGAGATTCCACCACTTTCCAAGGTCGTTTATTCCACTGTCAAACAGCTCTTGTTTTTGCATGGTGCCTAAAAGCAGATAGTGATGGTGCCAGGCATGCCTTCCTGGGAAGAGCATTCCACAAATGGGGAGCGACCAAGGAAAAAACCCGTTTCCACATTGCCACCCCCCATCCTTCCCTCAGAGAAGGCACACAGAGAAGGGCCTGAGATGAAGAATGTAGGGTCCAAATCCATAGCCAATCCCCTCTGGGGCATCTATGTTGTTTTGCATTCTAGTTCCTCATCAGCATATTTGAAATGTTGATGGCCTACTTTACATGGAGACAAGGGGGATGGGGATGGCTAGTAGCACTAAACCTCCTCAGTTATCAGAATTTTCCAAAAGTGTTTCCAATAAGCATTTAGCTTCCTTTGATAACCCCATTTGAAAAATAAGTGAAAGAGAAATGTTTACCAAGAGAAGATGGAAAGGACTGTCTTGATAACAGTAAGGATATAGCTCCAGCATAATTTTAGCAATGTGGGGGTCAAATGGCTGTACTGTTAGTTACCAGACCTTGAGAATGGGGAATAAGGGTAAATAAGAGGATTGCTTTGATTCCATTGGAGTGGAGAAATGAGAAGGCCCAATGTATATTAGTCAAAGAAAGAAAAATAATATCCTAGAAAATGAATAAGAGATAAGTAGCCTTGGAATAATGCTATATAAATACATTTGCTGTAGGTCACATCAAAGATTCATGACACACACATGTTCAGGTCAAATTACCTTTAAATATTAAATGTCTTCCCAGCGGTGGAGAATTTCCAATTTATGCTGTTTTCACAAGGAAAATGGATGCAACCCGTCCATTATTATTTGCTGTCAACCACACGGCCTCCAGTTCAGTCCTACTCTAGACAGTCTGGCGGGGGGTGGGTGGGAGGAGATGGCGACTTTTCTCATTAGAAGGTTCCAGTTTTTGAAGCCTAGTCAATGAGCATTGGTACACCATGAAGCTACCGAAATTGGCTGTGGTTAGAGTCAACTTGGTCAATGTACTGATAATGATTTCTCCATCTGTTCAGTTCCCCATCAGCTCCAGGGTATATATTTATACTGGTATTTAAAGGTTTAAGTAACAAGTTTCACCTGTATAGAGTTCTTGTGTCATGTGAACCACCCTGGTGTTGGCTGGTGCCCATTGGAACTGGTAGGGTGAAAGGTAAGGACCCCAACAGTAGGCAGAAGTGGCACCAATAGTTGGCGGAGCCAGAGCCAATGACAGGCAGAGCCAACTAATTCTAGTTGTGTTCCCCTCCTCCACCCTCCTGAGTTCTACAAGAGGTAGCACTGAGACTAAGGAGGAGGAAGATGACACCAAGACCACCCACTAGTTTGGGGGTGTAAGTAAGAAGGCCAACAGGCAGGGAGCTGGGGGCTGACTGAGAGCAGGGAAAGGGGGCTCCCTGACAACTCTCAGCACCATTAACAAATTCCTTGGGGGACACCATAGCTGTTAAAAGTGGTACAACGAGTGCTTTCAATGTGTGGTGTGTATATGGCTCCAGAGTGTTGGTATCATATTAAATTCAGATGAAGAAAATATCTGGCAAATTACATTTGGCCAAAAATTCTTCTCCCTCTCTTGTCCTCCTTTATTTTCTTCTAGCCCCAAACATCTAAAGTAGCCTTGCACAACCTGGTGACTTCCAGATGTTTTGAATTCTCATCATTCCTGACCATTGGCCCTGTTGGCTGAGGCTCATAAGAGTGGTAGTACAAAATATCTGGAGGGTGCCAGCTTGGTTCTCCAGGGTTTTAGACAGAAGACATTCCCGGTCCAACTTGAAGATGCCATCAGGGATTGAACCTGGGACATTCTCCATGCAAAGCTGATCCTCTACCACTAAACTATGACTCTTCCCCTAATTTGTCAGTAGGAAGTCTAGATCAGTCTTCATCAACCTGGCTTTGCTAGCTGAGGCCAATGCAAGTTGTAGTCCAAACCATATGGAGGGCATCAGGTTGAGAACTGCTGACCAATAGCACCAGTTTAGTATTTCCAGCTCACTGTGGTCTTTCCCCATGGTTTCTTCTTTCATTCCGTACCGGAAAGTTGTATGTTTGTGCATACAAACACATACACCCACACACGAAACAGCATAGAATTTCTCACGATGAGCATTTTGTTCCTATACATTTCACTGTCTGTGTTTTGGCATGGGATGGCTATCATTTTCACACTAACAATATACCTTGGTAAATGATAAAGTCACGTCTGGCATAAAACTAGACGTTTTATCAGCATGTTTGAACTATCGCCTTACTGTGCTGTACTTGCCAACTGTACATCCTTTTCCTAAATAAAGACATGGTGCTCATTAAAAAAAAAAAACAACACTCTCTGGAGGTGGTATTTGCTTCTAGAAAAGGTGAGGATTCTTACCTGGTCGATCAGTTCCCCTGACTGGTTCTTCTGTTAAACAGGGAAAGAGAGAGAAGGAGGGAGGGAGGGTGCTTGGGAAAGCCTTGCAATAGCCTCTTAGCTCCAGGTTGATATTGTCGGTGGACATCTCCAGTAGGGATGAGTGAAATTATCCATTTCAGTTTCTCTCTGTTTCTCATATTTCCAGCCTTAAGTTCTCCACATTTCTACATCAGTTTGCAATTTTTTTAATTAAAAAAACTGACATCAAAATTCACCAGCATTTTAGTGTGAATTTCTGCTAATATACACATGGTGGCATGCAATTGCAAATTACACAATTCTTTTGCAAAACAGTTTCCCAAAATGTAATGCACATGTTAATCTTAGTATATGCATTTTTATATAGTCGGATGGATAACTGCATTGCAAAATTGGAATAAGTGTGACAGATTTCGAAGGATGGGGCTATGCTTCAATCTGCACATTGTTTCAGAAACTACAAATTAGGTAGGTTCACTTTTAAATGAGAACCAAATCAAAATAATCACCCATTCTCTTGGGTCTCACCAAGGTTAAAGTAACACATAGATGGTGGTGTGTTTTAATCCCCCCCCCGTTAATTATTACTGTAAATTATTGTCAAGTGTTTTTAATTGTTTTTGTCCGCTTTTACTGATAATTTAAATATTTCTTGTAAACTATGTAGAGGGTTTTCTTACATTCAAGTGGTATAGAATTTTTGTTAAATATAAATAAATATATAAACCACTACAATTTATAGTCCATTTTGAAATCTGAGGACACCCGAGACAACTAGCAATATAAAAGCTTAAAAACAGCATTTCTATCAGCAAAAAAAGCACAAGAAAGCAATGCAGGAACAGTCAAGGACAGTCTTCCCCAGCCTGATGCACTCCAGCTGTTTTGGACCACAATTCCCATCAGCCCCAGCTGGCTGGTTTGATGGAAGTTCTAGTCCAAAACAGCTGGAACACTTCAGACTGGAGAAGGCTGACCTTGACCATTCTTATTTTCCTTTTATTCATTTATTTATTTTGGGGGGAGGGCAGATAGATTGAGGAGGAGACTATTGATGGAGGACAGAGCCATGGTGGCTACGCTCTGCCTCTACAGCCAGAGGCAGCAGTGCTTCTGAATACCAGCTGCTGGTATTCAGAAGAGGAGAGTGTTCTTGTGCTCAAATCCTGCTTGTGGGTTTCTGCCAGCTGACTGCAGCTCCACTCCCAGGTCAGGCCTGACCAGGGGTCAGAGAGGCAGCAGCAGCAGCAGCAGCATTGGCCGACCCCAGTTCTGGAGTCTGACCCCAGCCTTGCAAAGCCATGCAGGGCAGCCAAGGCAGCCTGAATGTGCCCTTGAAGCAGCTGTGAGGGCTGGGCTGATGTGGCGGCAGTGGGTTCCCTCTGCTCCCCCACCCCCTTGGGGATGCATCCTGCTGCTTCTCCCATCTTTTCTCAGAAAATATTAGGAAAAATTGCTTGCAAATTTGTATATTAGGGGAAATGCGCATTAAAATATTGACAATTTTTGTGAGGACTTTTTCCCCCAAGAAAAAGAGGGGACAAGATCTGGAGAGGCAATAGATTTAACTTAAGGGAGGCTGAAATTAACTGATTTTTCCACTCTTACCAAGCACTGTGGATGTTCTGATCCAGCAGGGATCTTAGTATGTTCTTGCAAACATTCTGTTTCATGCATTGGATCTGTGTTAGTTTGTTTATATGTGCACTTTGTAACTTGGCAGTGCAGACGGGTCTCCCGAGAAGTTCCATTAGTTTTCTTGAAACACTTTGGGCTCGCTTTGAAATTCATCCAATGTTTTGGGTGGGGATGACCCCTCAAATCTGCAATTAAATAAATTCAGCACTCCTCAATGAACTAGTTTTCAAAATACTATCCATCTGTATCCTCATAAGACACTTGTACCAAAACAATCCTCTTACATCTTCCCTATACAGTGTTACCTCTGGTTACATACACTTTAGGTTACATACGCTTCAGGTTACAGACTCCGCTAACCCAGAAATAGTACCTCAGCGGTGCGGCGGCAGCAGGAGGCCCCATTAGCTAAAGTGGTGCTTCAGGTTAAGAACAGTTTCATGTTAAGAACGGACCTCCGGAACAAATTAAGTACTTAACCCGAGGTACCACTGTACATAATGAGGACGCCCAGTGCTTAATGATCTCCTGGTCTTCCTAGCAGTGACCCTAAAACAACCACTCTCTACCAAAAGCAGTATCATACCACCTCTCAACACTTCCCAGGAAAATATAGAAATTTGTGCAAGTGTTATTAATGAGAGTGAGGGTGGGGTGGGGGGTGTTAACTGTAGATCAATGTAAGATTTTGATTAAAGCCCCTTCTTTTCTACTCTTTACATGGAAGGTTTATTATTATTCCCCACACTCAGGAAATGACAGGAGGCATTTTCTAAAGGCAATATATCTGTTTTGCGTGCTACACTTCAGTAGAGCCTTGTTTTATCTGATTTCTTAATGTGCCAAGAGAATGACAGGTAACATTTTGTATCTGCATAAGAGCTTATGAAACAATGCTTATCAGCTATCTTCATCATTGCCAGCCTGTACACGAATCATCCTTATCATTTAGGACATAGCTCCACTGAAGAGGGCAATTGCATGGCAGTTCAGCATTTCAAATGGAAAAGGAATCTGATCATTGGTCTCCTAGTGGCCCGTTCCGCTCTCAGCTTCTAAAATGATAGCAACAAAAATACCATTTCCCACTGAGATGACATTGAAGCCTGATTTGCAAGTTACCAGAACAGAGTGAGATTTGCTTGCCCCTAGTAGATCACATGCCTATCAGACAAGATCTATTAGCCACATGGACTTCCTAGATTACATAGGCTGCATTCCATCTTGGACTGTAAGAGAAGGTTGGAAATTATATGAAAAAATCCGCACAATATATGATTCAATAGGGGTGGATGGATTGGCTTATTTCTGTCATTATTGTATGTGTTCATTCATAAGCTCAGTCTATCCAATTTCTGCACTATCCCCCCCCCCAAAAAAAAATGTGCATGGAAATTTGTATTTAAATTTCATGCAATATCTACCCATTTTGTGTTTGTCAAAGTACTGTTTCTGCTCTGCCACACTTTGACTTCTGCCAAAGCCTCATTATTTACCTTGCTATTCACTATGACCAGAATTTTCCTTTTGAGGGAAAGGTTGTGCTGGGAATGTGCTTTGAAATTATTGTGTGTATGCAGTATAAGGCTGCTTTGATGCAGCAGATTATTCCATGTTCCCGACATTTCCCTGTCTGTTAATTTCCGCATTATATTTGTGCTTTCACACGGGGGGGGGGGATCACTTCCAGAAAACTAATGGAATATAGTGAGTGTTTAGCACTCAGTTCTGTGCTATTTGATTCTAGGAAAATAATATTTTTGCAGCCCCCTTAACTCAGGAAATCACAGGAGAAACCTGAAGAAATTTGGGGTGGTATACCAGCATATCGTTTCCTATATTTCCTGCTGTTTTCATGGGGGAACAGAAGCACACCTATGCAGAAAGAGTGGAGGAGTAGCAACACTGACCAGTGACATCTGTTGTTATGTCACACCATGCCCATTGCTGTGAATGAGACTTAGCACAACATGCCAGTACAGTGGTACCTCGGGTTGTGTACTTAATTCGTTCCAGAGGTCCGTTCTTAACCTGAAACTGTTCTTAACCTGAAGCACCACTTTAGCTAATGGGGCCTCCTGCTGCTGCCGCACCACTGGAGCACGATTTCTGTTCTCATCCTGAAGCAAAGTTCTTAACCTGAAGCACTATTTCTGGGTTAGCGGAGTCTGTAACCTGAAGCGTATGTAACCTGAAGCATATGTAACCCGAGGTACCACTGTATAATGTTCAAAAAACCACCATTCCATTATGCAACAGGTGCTGCAGTATGAAATGAATATTATAATTGCAAAAACTAACACAATATTCTCCATGTCTGAAGGCATCTTACGTCAGCATGCCATGAAAACTGAGAATGTTCAGTCTTCATTGCGCTGTTTTGGGGCTTAACCCAAATTTGGGGGGATGTCCCCACAAAGGTTTCCCCCCACTGTAAAACTGAGAGATCCTCTGCAGCCTGCTGATTCCTTCCTCTTATGTGTTAATCACATAAGTAGGCTGTCTTGCCTACTAAAGCAGGGTCTGAACAAAGGAGACAGACACACACACACACACACAGAGAGAGAGAGAGAGAGAGAGAGAGAGAGAAGCAAAATTTCTGTCCTGACAACCATTTTGTCCACCATATTGGCTCCAAGCCTTATCAATAGGGGAAATTAGGAGGTGGGGTGGCGGTGGGGGAGAGCATACCTCTTTTTAACATTATCTGGCCTTGAAAGTAATCCAGAAGGAGAAGAGAACAACAGCACGGGACAGGGGGAGGGAGGGAATAAGAAACAAACCTTTTTACACAAATAGAACAATATTATTCTGG